AGACAGACAGACAGACAGACAGACAGACAGACAGACACAGACACAGACTGTAGGAATAGGGCAAGGCTGCTTGTCAGCCAAGAAGTGGAACCCAGGACTCCAGGTACTGTGGCCTGCTATTTCACAGTCATGTCACATAGTAACTCTATTTTCACATTGTGTGTTCTTTTAATTTCTAAAACAAAGCAGTAAAATGAAAGAAGAAAAAGGGTCCTATTAACATGAGGGTTTTTTTCTTCTTCTTTTTTTGTACCAGGGATTGAACTCAGGACCCTGAACTTGCTAAGTAGCCGCTTATGTTGCTGAGCTATCTCCTGGTCTGTCTGTCTGTCTTTCTTTCTTTCTTTCTTTCTTTCTTTCTTTCTTTCTTTCTTTCTTTCTTTCTTTCTTTTTTTTTTCTCCCTGGTCTTTTGAATTCTCTATTTAAATCTTCTTTTCTGGGCTTTAGCTTACTTCCGGTCTGGGAAGTCTCCTGTTTGATGAGCCTATCTCTGATCTTTGCAGATTTGAATTAGCCTCTTGACCAGATAGATGTGTTACTAGGAACAGTAAACATCCAGAAAAATCTACTTAAATTATAAAATACACAAAACATGTGCACACACACACAAAACCTGTGGGCCGGGAGAGTAGATGCAACATTCGTAATCCAAGGACAATTTAACCAAGAAAAAGATGCTAAGATTATCTGCTTTCTTTGCCATTTGACTATGACTAAACTTAATAGGGTCATAAATTTCCATAACACCTAGCTGACTGACAAGGTTTAATAATTTTAATTTTTGTGCTAAAACTTTAAATCCCACAGGCACATACATTGTTTATATACTTTATTATGCTCCTGTTATATGATTTATTTTTCCTTACAGAGGCTGAGGTACTATTCTGAAAAATGACAATGGACTTTTACCCCTTTCTCAATCCAGGTGCTAACTACATTTAGTTTTCATTTTCATTTTATTTTTCTCAGTAATTTGGGTCATTTATATGCCTCATCCTCACAGAACAGGAGAACTGTACATTGCTTTTCATGCCTAATAAGTAATTTAATTAAAACTTGTCTCATCTGCTCTGAAAAATGAACCATATTTTAACAGGAAGATACCTCGGACCAAACCTGTAAGGAAGAAGAACTGGAGGCAGCTGTGAAGCACACAGGGTGAGAATCTCGCCAATAGCAAGCTGAGCCGGAGTCTTACCCAAGTTGTGACATCACAGCCACCAATTTCTCCGGATCGTGATGATTTTTCTCTAATCGCTGACGGGATTGCTTCCGCCTAAAACGATGAATGGGCCCTGGAGGAGGGCCAGGCGCCTGGACAAGACAGCACATTCTGATTACGACAAAACTGCTTTTGGGGAAACACCAAATGTTACAGAAAATGACCAGTTACAGAGACAAGTCGAAGAGCACAAAAGAAGTCATATCAGCGTAGGAAAGGCCTAGCTTTAGAAAAATATGTGTTTAAAATTGAATTCTGAATAATTTCAGCAGGCTGCAATCTCAGTGCATTGACAATGACATGAAAGTGTGGGCTGTTCATCCCAAACTCAGACAAGCTAACTGCTCAGTCTGGTAACAGCATCGCTGTTTCTAATGGGACTGATGGAAAGATGCAGCGCTGGTGGAAGGGGCGGGGAGGCGAGTTAGGCGGCTAGCAGCAGGATGCCCGAGCAACCTGCTTGGGTCACCCAGCGTCTGGGGCCGGGGCCCCTCCACCTTCTCCTGCACCCCAGGCCCCCTCCACGCGCTGGGGGGATGAACTGTCACAGAGGACTCTCAACGAGGGCTTTTGCCCTCCCCTGACCAGAACAAAGGCCCCGCACGTCCACTTCCCATGGCATTCTGACCATGTTGTCAACTCGCGAATTACTTAGAGATCCAAGAAAGGAGTTAGAAGACACTTCAAAAATTTTTGTCACATACTTATCTCTTTGCACGGCACACTCCTTTTAATTAAAAATAGCATGAAACATTTGGAACATTTGTTACTCATCCTTGTCTTTCAGCATAAATAATTTAGCAAGTAATTAGTTTGTCTTTGGGAAAAAAGATAACCATTCTAAATTATTATGATTAAGTAGAATAAAGTCAAGATGTTTTTAATTGGTATAGCAAAACAATTATTTCCTATCTGAATTTTTTTTTTTTTTTTTTTTTTGAACCGAGGATTGAACTCAGGTCCTTGTGCTTGCCAGGGAAGCGCTTATTCTACTGAGCCATCTCCTCAGTCTGAGTATTTGGTTTTAACACTTTACTCATATCTGAGTACATGAAAACCTCAAAAATGAAAGTACCAAGAAGTATTTTTAAAAAGTTAACTGCGATCCTATCACCAGAGAAGACTACCATTATTTTATATAAATGTATACATGATATATATTTAATATATAAACACACAAAAGTGTGTTTTATACACATATATGTACATATATTATACTCTTATGATATCAAATTGTACAGCCTATTTTTCTATTATTGCCTTTTCTTTCAAAGACATTGTAAGCATTTTTTTCAAATTCGTTGATCAAGATCGATGTTAACATTTTCAACATCTGTGTAGCATTGTGTTATGTTTTTCACTTAGCATATATTAATGAATGTTCAAGTTGCTTTCAATATTTCACTAGTATAAATGAGATTAATACATCTTGGAATTACAATCTGAAGTCAGGCACAAACACAAGACACTTTATTTAGTCTGTTTCATACTGTGGCTCACAAATACAAGATAAATGTCCCAGTGGGTAATGATACTTTATAAACATTTGAAGCAGCAATTCCACTTGGCATTATATATACATTTTCTGTTAGCTCAGAATATTTTATATTGCCCCTTATGTACTCCTTCACAGTAGTTAACAGATAAATACTGATGACTGTGTTTCACATATTAACTTCCAAGTCGAATTCTGTAGTTACCAGGGCAGCGCAGGGCACAGCCACACTCAGCCTAGGGAAGCGGGCTGTGCTTTTCCTCTTGGTTAATGGTTTGGGAGAACACTCAGGAATTGAAGTGACTGTGATTTCTTGTTCCTGCCATTCCAACTGCTGGAACCTTTGTTGATTTCATCTAATACCCCCTTTAAATTTGACTACTTTTTTTTTTTTTTTTTTTTTTTCCATAGAGCCCGGGATTGAACTCAGGCCCTTGCCCTTGCCAGGCAAGCTTATTCAACTGAGCTAGCTCCTTGGCCACCAAAATACTTTCTGTGAGTCTCATGTCAGTGATAAGACTGGCCCCCCCAGGGCACGCTGAAATGACAACTGAGACTGGGCGTGGTGGTGCGCGCCTGTAATCCCAGCTTTTGGGAGGCTGTAAATAGGCGGATCACTATGAGTCCAATCTAGTAGTGAGACCCTGAATACCCTGTAGACCCTTCCCTAAAATACAAAGCAAACAAACAAAAGCTTCAGAAATTACAAACAGCATTCCTTAAGGTTCATTTTATTCTTGAATTTCATGTGGCCTCTTCATCTTTATCTATCCTGCAATCTTAGATAATCAGCGATCCTAGAATCCAATTTGTTGACATCTCATACTTCAAATAATGTGCATGTTGAAGGCAGTATAATAAATAGTGCTATATCAGCACAGTGCTGAGCATTCTAGTTTTCAGACATCACTGGTATGCTTTCTTTGTATTATATAAAGCTACTCATTGTATTCTTTAATTTAAACTAAAAATTGCTTCAGATTTTTGTCTGCTCTATTAATGTATTTATATATTTGGTCTGCTTGACACAGACTGTCAGTTGAACCCAGCATTTTGGAGAAGAGATTTGAAACATAAAACCTATTATTTTCAAATGTTGAAAACTGTTGTATGAGAGGAAAGGAGTTTATGGAGTCTAACTGGTTTCCGGTGCTTGACGGTTAAGCCAATTTCACGTGATTATTTATTTAACATATTTTGGAATGCTTCTTAACAAAAAGGCATACCTTTATACAATCTGTCCAGCTTTTGAATAAGATTTTCCATACTTTGAGAAGAGATCAAACGGTGGGAACACAGTCTGAAAATCCTAAGAGGAAAAAGATCAAAGATTACCATTGAGTTATTCATGATTTTGTCTTATTTTTAATCATTACTATTGAGATTATATTGAATTGCTAGAGAGACATAGTTTAACTGCACTCCAAATTCCCTATTAAAAATGCAAAACAGAGTTAGCTGGTCAACTTTAGAAGTCACACAGGTTGAAAGGCCGCGCAGCAGGCTTCCCGAAGCGCGGCTTGCTCTTTCCACGGGTGGCCGTGAGCACAGTCGAGTCTTACACAGCAAAGTGACTTTTCCTCTGGAACTTAGCCTCTATTCTTGGTTTTGGTTGTTGTGAATGTTCCAAATTGTAAGCCTGAAGGCATTCAGAAGCCAGCGTAGGCTTGTGGCGGTCGCACAGGCTGCCAGGCCTGCTTTGCAGGGGGACAAGGCCATACCTCTCTTAAATACTAGTGCGTAAAGTTTTGGCCTCCTTGTGAAGTGGGACCGTTATTCCCTCACATTAGCAACTTGGTGAAGAGCTGAGCGTAGCTGCCTTTTCATAAGCATCTACTCATACTTCATTTAATTTCCGAAATGGAGTAACAGTCAGAAATGCTTAAAAAATGTATTAAGAGGGAAGGAAAATATACTCGTTGGAAATCCAGCTGTACCTAAAGAAATGAAGAGTATCAGAGAAGGAATAAAGGTAAAATAAAACTTCTGTTTTCTTATGCTTATCTGACTCACAGATAACAGTTGCTGAAAATAACAGTAACAGCTCAGTTTTAAGTAACAACAACAGGGTGGCGGCGGTCACAGGTTGGGGAGGAGAGAAGTGAGGGTGGCACTGGTGTCTGTGGAGGAGCTGGGGAGAACCCGGGACTCACCTGTCAGCAGGTGCTGGAAGCAGATTTGGACTCACAGTGAAGTAAATCCCACTGCCTAGAGCAACTACTAAAAAAGTTGAGAAGAAGGATGACTGGCAAGCTGATAGCAGGGAGAAAGCGGAGTCGTATGCTATGCCTAATGGGAACCGCAGAGCCTAAGTGTGGGCAAGACAAAAGCAGAACCACAGGAAAGAGCAGCAAGGGTGAAATAACAATAAATATGAAAGATGTTCCTCCAACTTTAAATTTGTAAACAGTTTAAATATACCCAAAAAAGGGTGAAAGAGAAGAGCCGCCAGTACATCTATACAAATCCCACTTTAAATCTAAAGACCAGAGTGAAACTGAAGGGATAGAGATGCATGTGCTAGCCCTTCTCAAAGGAAAGCTGGACTCACTATATTAATCTCAGACAAAACAGACTTCAGAATAAGGAAAGTTGTAAGAGATACCCAGCGCCATTCCACAGTGAAGTGGTGACGGCCCCACGAGATACATCAGTGCTTACTGCGTATGTGCCTAGCAAGTGGGGGCCAAACCGATGAGACGAACGCCAGCAGGCCTGCCAGGAGGGGCCGATGTGCTTGCTGCTCACCGGAGACTGCAGCACTGCTATCATGAACTGGCAGGCCAGCACGGAGCAAATCGGCAAGGAGCAGCGCCGCCAACCAGATCTGTGGATCACGTTGTCCGCCTGCAGCAGAGTGGACACGGTTCTCAAATCCACCTGGAACATTCCCACGACAGACCACACCGTGTGCTACGACACACACCGTAAGCAATTTAAAATAGAAAGCATGCAAAGTGTGGCCTCCAACTACAACAGAATGAATTAGAAATCAGTAACAGAAGAAGAGATGGAACCTCTGTGCATGTTTAAACATTAAATAGCATAATTAAATAATACATGGGTCAAGGAAGTCTCAAAGAAATAAATAAAAAATAGCTTAAATAAGAATGACAAACCTTATCAACATTGTTTATTGAAGGCAGCAAAGGCAGTGCCTATGGAAAAATTTGTAGCACTGAATGAACTATAGAAAAGAATAAAAATCTAAAATCAATAGTCTCTACTTTAGGAAACTATAGAAAGGAAAATGTATTCTATCCAAATAAGAAGAAACAAAATACTAAAATCAGAGCCAAAAATCAATGAAATTGAAAATAGAAAACAAAAAAGATCAATAAAATCAAAGACTGCTTCCTTATAAAGATTAATGAAACTGATAAACTCATAAACCAAGCTCATCAAGACTAAAGAGGGAATATGCAAATGACTAATAGCAGAACAGCTCGGAGCTGGGCTCTACAAGCACAGGGGACGTTTCCTGACTCATTCCATTTCGTCATCTGCAGAATGGGGTTATCTATCGCTTGACATTGTGATGATTAAACTCCACAGAACATCTAGCTCTCAACCTTCTGATTTCCTCTCCTCCTTCAACAGTAAAGTCTATTCATATTCAGCATACTATGCTTGCTCAAAACTCAAAGCACGTAAATTCCATTTGTACTTAGACAAATTTCGAGCAATAGTATGGTGAAACATAACATCCTCATGAGTTAAACCATTTTGATTAAGAATCATGAGTACTGGGGCTAGGAAGATGGCGCGATGGAATAAGTGCTTTCCTGGCAAGTACAGGGCCTGAGTTTGATCCTTGGTACCGCAAAAAAAAAAAAAAAAAAAAAAAAAAATCATGAATATTGTATGTGATTATTCATTTATGTTAATTATATTTATATGATACTGTAGGACTCTAATGTGATACACACATAAATGAGATAAAAATAACAAAGTTTCTAATTCTTTTTATTTAATGCTATGGCTCTTCTTGTGTTCTCACCTCCGAACTCTGGCATTCCGAAGCGCCTCTGAACTCTGTACCAGCTGCATTTGTGTGCTCTATTGCTGTTTGGGCACTGACGGTGGGTCAGGCTCTATGCCAACATCCAACCAGTAGTAACTTAGTCCTGTCTAGTGTCACACAGTAATCTCTGTTGACAAAGACCGACTCTCCAAATTCCTACTGTGAAAGGAAATCTTTCAGAAAGTCTTTTCTACTTACAGCATTCATCTACGTTTACGCTCTTCCTTAGCCCTGGTCAGTCAATAACTGTAAGCTCTGCTGTAGGAAAAGTGGATGTCCCACTTACCTTTGGTTTGCAAAACAGTCTGTACTTGATTATATCTTTAAAATTTGCCTCTGACTAAAAACTGTCATCCTTCTGTGGCTGACTCCGAGCTCAAGAAAACTACCTCCTCACCTCTCGTCCACTGTCACTGTTGGGAGACAGATCTTCTGAAAAATAACCTCATCAAGGAAAAACACTGGGGATGGTAATTCTACATCCTGCCATACCCCTCGCTTGCCAGAGCAGACAGCTTTGCTGTTAGGATGGCCAGCCAAACACAGATAATCTACTGCCAAAATGAGCTCCTTGGGACAGTTTAGTAGTCCTTGGAAGCGAACGGCTCTTTGAGCTGGAGTGTAGCCCAGGGCCATTCTCAAACCCAAGTCAAAATGACAAAGAGCAAATTTCCTGGGCACTCGCCCCTACGTGTGAGATTACTTTAGGTTGGCAGCTGCACTGCTTATCCAGTTATTTAAGGCTTTTCACCTGATGTCACAATGGTGTCCTTACACAACAGCCTGCAGTGTGCGCGAGCTCTTAAAACAGCGTGGACAGCTCCAGGGTTAAAATGACAGCATGAAGACTGAAGGTATGCTTGTGGCGCACAGCCTAGAACGTTTTTATATATTCATTTAAAAAAAAATTGTAAACAAAATTTCTCTTAGAGTAGTAAGTGTTTTTGGATGTATGCTAAGTATTATTTTAATCGCAAACATTTCCTGAGTGAGACCTCAAGGATCGGAGTTCACGGGCAGGCTTAAAAAATCACCCAACATACCTCCTACAAGATCAGCTCTGCTTATGAAATTGAGAAAGAACCTGATAAGTCCTCTAGCCTCACTTGATCTTAGTTACTTGCTATTTGTTGACTTCAAAAATTACTAATTTTAGAGATCATACGGTTGAGCAAACTATTATTACCATCTCACTAGTTTTGCTGTAGAGAACTCTCTGGCACGTATTTGCCTACCTTTCAGGGCTTGACCACCTTGTCTGGCACCACCAGCTGTTCAGTTGGGCCAGCACAGGACACGGATTGCTGACCTGTGGGTGTTAGGGACACAGATTCCCCCTCCCTGAGGTCACGCTAACTCCATGTTCTGAACATACATCTTGTTATGAATTATGAAGACTGTACATGGGTAGATTGTAGGTTATTTCACCTCCAATAGCTCTGCCCTGTGCTGCAGACCACCCAGCTTCTGTGTACGCAGAGCCTACCCTAAGAGGGATCCATTCTGGACTTAGGTTTTTGGCCTCATGTGCGGCCAAACATGAAGAAATTTACTTTCTTGCAAAATTCGTTATTTCTGTACACGGCCCTACTGTGCAAGGGCACATGCCTGGTTCTGAGAGACTCAGATTACACACAGAAAGCAATAATGGCAAGTGCTCTATGATTTTGACAGAATAATACATAGGCAGTTACGTGAGTTGTACAGGTTATAGAAATTCTCAGTGTAATGTTTTTTGCAAGAAAGACAATGCTCAGACTCATAAGCAAATAGTCTATATTGGTGACTTAATGATGATCTCTTTGTAAGAATGGTCATCTCCAGTCCCGATTATTTATGGAGTCCTTATTTACAAATTTGCCTATTTGCTAAACTAGTTTGAATCTTCCCAAATCAACACCCACACAGTCACAGTAATTTGCAGTGTGGAGATCAAACCCAAAGTCGGGCTTCGAAAGCTTAGTACTTTGAACTGAAGGAAAGGGGCTCTGAGGCTAGATCTTCCTGACCTTCTCCTGATCCCCTTTCTCACTCATGCAGGCCACAGACACTAGAATTCGTCATAGCCAAGGCAGGTCATAGAAGCTACAGCCCCTCTGCCCCAAAGCCAGCCACAAAACCTAGAAATATCACTCTAACATCCCTCACCCTTGTGTGTAAGCACTGGCCTGGGAGGTTCCCTGCCCCGCCTGTCTGAAAGAACATCATAGACTCTTAGCTCAGAAGGTCCTTCCAATGCTTGAGGGGAGGGAGCGCCACACACTGGATCTCCCCACTCCACCCAT